TGGTAAAAATCGTAAGATTTAATCGGTTCATGGTTAGATTAAATCTTACGATTTACGATCTGATTCTTACGATTTTACGAATTAAATTATTATTTTGTTGTTAAAATTGAATTAAAAGGATAGTAGACTTTAATTATAAATAGTTAACTCGATTAATACGTTCTTGTCAGTGGTTGAACTTAATCGATTCAAATTTTTGAATAATATTTACAAATTAAAAGGATTTGCGCTTAATTTATTCAAATCATACGCTTTAATTAATCTTATAATTTGATTCTTGCGTAATTTAGGAATTATTTTTTTATGATAAGATTGAATTAAAAATGTATTACACTTTAATTAATAATAGTTAATTTGATTAAGACGTTCTTGTCAATAGTTGAGCGCGCTAATGAATCGATTCAAATATTTGAATAATGTTTACGAATTGAAAGGACTTGAGCTTAATTGGTTCAAATATTACGCTTTGATAAAATATTTTGATTTACGATTAGGTTCTTACATGTGTTAGGAATTAAATATATTATTTTTATGACAAAATTGAATTAAAAAGATATTACACATTACTTATAAATAGTTAAATCAATTTTGTAACATGTTATGTCAATAGTTAAGCAACTGATTCAAATATTTAAATAATGTTTACTAATTGCAAGGGTTTGTACTTCATCGATTCAAATCTTACTAGTTAATTAAATTCAATATTAAAAGAAAATTCACAATATAGTATTTGTAGTATATAATTTTATTTTAAAGTAAGAAAACTACTAATTGGAATGAGTTATAATTTTTTCTTCTTCTAAATAAACATATTATTTTATTTTTTATTTGGATTTGCCACACTATCGATTAAATAACATAAGTGAGTTTGAATTAAGTTATGCATTTTTTTATTTAATTGAGCATTCTTTACATTTTTAAATTGAGCATTTTATTAATACTTCTAATATTTAATGATAGATGTTTGGCGTATTGAACTGCAATTCTTTATATTTTTCAAACTTTATTTTATTAAATTTGTTAATAATTTATTTAATTCGGGTTTTCGGGTTTCGGGTTTTCGAGTTTCGGGTTTCGGGTTTTACCATTTAATAATAATGAATGTTGCAATTAATATTTGCATTAACAGTATTTATACAATTATGGTTAATTATTTTATAATAAGTTAATGTGCTTGGATGGTTAGGAGTGATAAATGTATTAAAAGGTCACAAGTTTGATTTCTAATGAATACATTTTTTTCGATTATTTATCAAATAAAACTCAGTCACAATGAATTTAAATTAATTATTTAATTAAAATATAGTAGGGTGTAAATTACACAATTCCATGTTAATCAATTTTATATTAATTTAATAAAAAAATAATAGAAGGATAATTTGGTAAAGTACTTCATTTTTTAGAACATAAGCCATGTTATTTTCCTAGGGTCCAGATTTAATCTTAGAAAATTAATGGTGATTAATGCATATCTCAAAAAAGTTTAGAACATGGGGTATCTCACCCTAGACAAACCCAAAATAATTGGCCCTACTAATTTATAATGGATATAATCTTATCTAGGCTAATCTTATCTTGGCAACTAAACGGGACCTAGAGAATTATCTTATCTTGGCAACCAAACGGGACCTTACGATTCCTAATAATTAGCAACAATCATGAAAATGAACCCTGATTATAATTTGTTTATCACTAATTAAAAGTACACAAAAAATAACTATTAAATTGAAGAAAGACAAAAAAAAGAAAAAAACATGAAGTTAAAAAGTGATTGAATCCTCTGAAGGGCCTTTTAGACATTATCCTTCTTCTTCTCGGTTACAGAGTAGCATTCCAGAAACTCGTTACAAATTTCTATGAAGCCAAAACAAAAAACCTGAATAAGAAGTGTCGGAGAGTTATTAGAGGCGGAATGATTTTACAAAAGAAAAATTGGAGACAGTGTGGAAGAGTTAGGAAACAAATGCCATAAAAAAAGGGGAAAATTGAATAAGAAGTGGGGGAGATGGAATAGAAGTGAGATGATTTTACAGAGAAAATTTGGGTACGGTTATAGGAGAGAAGGGAAACAATAGGAAAATAAGATTCACAAAGATTATTTTGCACAAAGATTCACTGGTGTGGTGTAGTAGATTGCATTCTATGAAATAGAGTTGTACCATATGTTTTAAATGATTTCACTTAATATTCATATCGCGTTTTCTTCTTTGTAATATTTAATTGAATTTCATGTGTTATAACTCTGAATTAAGAGATAAAGTTTATTTTTACTTGGTTTCTTTTTATTATGTGTTACTTGAATTTGTGTTGTTTTAAATAGTAGTCGTTTACATATTTTTCTCATTTTGAAACTGACATCCGTGCAACGCACGAGTGAAGTACTAATTCTCTTACCACCTTAAAACTTGCAAAAGTGTTGAGGTGCAAACCAAATCCCACATCGGTTTAATATGAGAAAGATCATCCCTTTATAAGGAGGGGATAGATCAACTTTATTCCTATGAGGCATTTTGGGGAACTGAAATGCTAAATCCCACACGAAAATTACTAAATCATGCATAGGGGTGAAAGTCGGAAGGATCGGATCGGAATTAGCCTTTTCGGAAAATTTCCAAAAAAAATCGGAAGTACAAAATCAATTCCAATTCCAATTCCAAAATTTTCGGAATCTAAAAATTCATTCCAATTCCAAAAGGCCCGGAAATTTCGGAATTTCGGAAAAAAAAATCGGAAATCACATAAGCTTTAAAATTTCAAAACTTAGCCGAAATTTTCTAAAATGTTCATAATTTTTCAAAAATAAGAGCATCCACGTCGATAGAAGTAAAACTAATAACTACTAAATTTCAGTTCAAAAAAATAAATAAAAATAAACACATCATAATATCCAATAAAACTTCTAACAACAATTCATTATGTCAAAATCCTAAAACAAAACTTGTAGGTGCATTTTTCGGAAAATGAGTATTGTATAATATATACTATTTATAGGTGTATTTTTTGGAAAAAAATCGGAATTTTTCGGAATTAATTTCGGAATTAAATCGGATCGGAAATTGGAATTCCAAATTTATTTTATATAATTCCAATTCCAATCCAAAAAAGTCGGAAATTTTCGGAAATCGGAATGTCGGAAGTCGGAATGAAAAAAGTTGTTCCAAAATCGGAATTTTTCGGATCGAAACCGGCGGAATTTGGAAAATCCGTTCCAACTTGCACCCCTAATCATGCATATAATAAAATTTCCTCCTCTCTCTAAAATCCCAAATGTGTCGGTCTTTTTCTTTCCCCCAAACAAGTTCTTCTTTTCCCCTAATGCATGCAGACAAAATATCATAAAAGTAGTATATAATTCGAAAATCGAACTTGAAGAAAATCTTCTCTAATTTATTCTATGATCAAGGTTATCATTCTATCTCAATTTTAAAAAAAAAATAGGCTGCATGGTTCTTTTTTTTCGTGGGTGGGGCGCGCGTGGGGTAGCAGTGCGATATGTTTTGTTTTTTTTTTTTTTTTTTTAATTCAATTTAGTTACTTTATTGTCATAGATGGTGGTATAGGGTGATGATAGAGAGAGCTGCGACCGATTAGCGTCCATGGCAGGCCAACAACGTGCGTGGAATTTTTCGGGGGTGGGGTGGGGCGGCTGGGTTAGATGCGATAGGTTTGTCTTTTTTTTTTTTTTTTTTTTTTTTTTTTTTTTTTTCTCTATTCAATTTAATTATTTCTGAAATGTTTTAATGCATATTTAATGATTAATAAAATCTTAATAAATTTTAATACTTTATAAATATTGAATAAATGTTAAAAATATTTTAGAATTAAATAATTAGAAATTTAATAAATATTGAATAAATTTTAATAAATATTTAAACATTTGGATAACTTCATACGACTTCTGCGATAGTGGTTTACAAAGACCATGCTTCGAAGCCGGAGGATGATTATGCTTCCCGTAAACTGTAGAGACTTCCTATTTACCCTTTCCTTGTAGAGCTCCCTTCAGCTCAAAACCACAATGACATTTTTTCGGGTCAGTACATATTGTACTTTCTACATCTCTATTCTTTCGTTTCACCTGTCTATTCTCAAGTTGGTCAGAGCCTCACAGGTGACGTATACTCTATCACAAAAAGTATGACCTATACTTGACTTAATACCATAACTTTCAGTTGTGTCTCTCGCCCACTTATTTAAATCGTCTCTACTATTAAACAATTGAACTCCTCGAAAATATTCAGAACAATGAACTTCCCCATTATCCTGAAAAATATATAAAATATAACAAAAACTAATTTAAAAAAAAATGAATCGCGTCTAAAGTAGAAGAGGACGAATCAAAGACGGCGCCCACCTTGGACGCGAATACAGTGTATTGCGCATCCAACATGTACGCGTTATCAGTTCCGTCTTCCAGGTTGTCCGCCGTCTGCGTATTTTTTGGCAAAAAATTGAAATCTTACAAGCCAAAAAATTAAAATCTTACAACCGATTGAAGTGGATTGTAGTTAGAAGGTATTGAACTTATTATGTGATGATAATTAAGTAACAAAAAAACGAGTTTTGACGACTTCATAGTATTTTGAAAACTCTAGAAAAAAGTTAGAGAGAAGTCGAGAAAATAGAGCGTAGAGAGAGAATTTTTTTATGATTAAATATTTTTTTATTTATGTACGGGATTTAGTAACTTTTAGTGTGGAAAATCCCAGAAAGAAGTTAGAGAGAAGTCATAGAAAATAGAGCGTAGAGAGAGAATTTTTTTTATTTATTTATGTGTGAGATTTAGTCACTTTTAGTGTGAGATTTAGCATCCCTTTGGGAAAACCCAAGAGCAAAACCAATTGGGCTCGGCCAAAATTGAACAAGATAATACCAATGTGGAGTTTATGCTATCCCGTGAAGCCAAGGGTGAAAAAATGCAGAAATTTCCAATTAAGGGGTTGAAGTGTAAGTTCTGAATATATCAATTCATTTTAATAGAAATCATAAAATTAGGGACTAAGTTGAAACATTTGAAAACTGAAGTGGAGCCAGAACTAAATAAAATTGTCGGCGTCACAAGCCCCTAATCCATTTCCGCCGCCACGAAGAAAACAGTTATCCGATAAATCGCCGCCACGGGTGCGCGTGAGCCGCATATATCGCCGTTCCGGCGGATAAATCGCTTCTTCTAGATTTTACAACTCGCCAGCCGCTATATGCGGGGAAATTTGTCGCGGTGGGCCCCGTCCCGGCCGCTGTAGCGGCGTTCCAATATACTCAAAATATACTGAATTCATGATTTTAGGGTTCAAATTCACAAATTAGCTATTTCAGTCACTAATTTTAGGGTTCAATTCCGAGATTTTCCTACGAAATGGTAAATGCTTTTTTGAGTCCACAATTATATATTTATTCACTTATCTCTGATAGGAATCTTTTAACGAAGCATATTTCAGGCTTTATGCGTTAAATCAGATCTTCCGCTGTGGCCTTCGTTTCAGAAATTCAATGTTTCCTCTTTCTTAAATGCATCAAAGGTTAGTGTTAATTAATTTTATTTTCATTCTGAAAAAAAAAATAAGCTGTTGTTCTCAAAAATATAATATTATTAAATTTTGTGTTTAGTTGAGGGCTATCTCTCTAAAACTCAACCATGGCCAAAGTGACCAGCCTTTAATCATATCAAATACTGGTGAGAAGTAGGTGATTTTGTTCCGTTTTTCTCTGATTATTTTATTATATTTTATTGATTGAGAAACGAAATACAATTAAACCTCTATAAATTAATACATTTTATACGGTCGGAATACAGTCGGGACCGACAAAATTCTATTAATTTAGCGAAATATTAAATTATCGAGCTAATAATTTAGTATGTTTTTACCGAGTCCGGACAGTAAGAAACTATTATTTAAACAAGGTTATTAACTTATCGAGGTTCTGTATATTTTATTTTGACATGGGGATGTAGGAAAGTTATTCGGAAGTCGGGAAAGAAGGAACACCATTTGTGGCAGAAGAGAGATTCAGCTGGTTCGGGACACAAGGCGCTGAATCTTGTTCGAACGGTATGCGTATAAAATTGGCCTTTCGGTTGTTTATAATGCTCGTTCAAATGTTGAAATTCGACGTTTAATGTTGAAATGAAAGTCGACAATTTTTGGCAGATATGTCGACTTCCGAACGAGAAAGAGGCGGTTTATGGGGCCTTAGATGAATGGATAGCGTGGGAGACTGAATTTCCGTTAATTGCTGCAGCAAAGGCTTTGAGAATCTTGAGGAAGAGGAACCACTGGAAACGTATCATTCAAGTACGCTTCTTTCAAAATTGATTTAAAAAAAAAGTAAATGTGGATTATTAATCTTGCAGTGTTGAATCTTTTGGCTGATATTTATGCAACTCCAACCATACTCTGTTTTTTAGCCAGTGTTGCATTCTCGTATAAAAAATTGATTTTAGCCGACAGAATTATTAGCCGATAGATTATGTAAATGTCTTTTATAGAATATAAGTACAGTAGATTGTAAGATCTAAACCGGCAGGAACGAGTTAATAAACAATAATTTGGTTATTGAGTTTGGATTGTGTGAATGTATAGGAATCTACGGCATGAATCAGTTAATAAACAATAAGTTAACAAACAAAACGACGAAGAAATTACTCAAAAAAAAAAAAACAAAACGACGAAGAAAAGAAAAAAAAAAAGAAAAAATGGGTATGTAGACATGCAATCGATATTAAATTTGTTGAGTTTGGATACATTTATACGAGCAAATATTTATTATGTGGATCAGGTAGGCAAGTGGATGTTGAGCAAAGGTCAAGGAGCAACAATGTCAACCTATGACAGCCTTTTACTCGCGTTCGACATGGACGGAAGGTTAGACGATGCTGAAATATTGTGGAATATGGTTTTGCAGACATATAATCGCTCTCTTCCGAAGATGATATTTTCGAGGATGATATCCTTGTACGATCATCATAATCTGCCCGATAAGGTTATAGAGGTGATTGAATATTATATTATATGGGTAAATTACAACCATCCCCTGAGGTATGGTCGAATTACGAAAAACCCCCTCATGTTTGGGTAATTACAACCACCCCGAAATTATAAATTTTCTTGCACGTCCACCCTTGCGGTTTTAAATTTAGTGGAATCTTCTAGATTATTTGAAATATTCTCAATTTTGTACCAGTTCGAGCTCCACATAACAAAATGATCATCATATGTGTTTTTTGGATTGTATATATCAAATTGTGGTGCATTAGAAACTGTATTTTTGCACAAAACGAGTACAAACTAGAGAACATTCCACATAATCTAGAAGATTCTGTTGAATTTGACACCGTTAGTGTGGACGTGTAAGAAGATTCATAGTTGAGTGGTGTAGATGTAATTATCCAAACATGAGTTTATTTATTTTTTGAAATTTGACCATAATTCAGGGGATGCAGTTTACCCTATATTATATTGATCGTTTCCTCAATTTGCACCGCTTTTATGAACTACAGTGTGCTGAAAATTTCTTGTATGATTGTGAAATATTAGGTTTTTGCGGACATGGAGGAGTTGGAAGTGAAACCGGACGAAGATACTGTTCGAAGAGTTGCACGAGCCTTTGAGGCGTTAGGTCAAAAGGAGAAAGAGAGACTGGTTATGAAGAAATACCAAAGTAAATGGAAATACATACATTTCAAGGGGGAAAGGGTAAGGGTAAAACGTTGATTTATCGGTTTGTTACTATTTCACACAATAAGCGAATGTAGAATACTAAAACTCAAAAAACCGAGCCGACTTAAGGTCATGGTTCATTATTATGACAAGAAACCTGTGCTATTTGTCAAAACGTAAACAGAGAAATCGGCCATATGATATAAACATTCACAAGTGTAAATTTGCCATTGAGTTTGGGTATTGAGAAAGATGGTAAATTATTGGGGGACATATTAATAAAAGAAATAATTTGGTATTGATGCTGTCAACAATACATTAATTTGAATCACCTCAAAACAATTCTTTAACCTGTAATAATTCTTCGAGAAACAAAACAATCCGTGAACGATTTTCTTCGATTGGGAGAAACCTCTGAAACTTAAGTCAAGTCCATGTCCGAGAGAAAAATATGGAAAGTATCTCTCTCAAAATGTAAGAAAAAACATTATGCAGTAAAGAATATAAAAAATTATCTAGAATAGTAATTTTTTTTTAATATATCTAGAATAATAATTGAACTATTTATATAACAAATTTATTTAATTATGGGTTTGATGTATTAATTTGGGCTTAACTATAGTCGGGTCTCATACTTATAATTATAAGTTTTGGGTTTCATTATGTTTGAGTATGTACAATTACTGATATCAAATACTGACTCGATTCAGAGTTAACAGTTGTTCTTTTGGTGACTGTGGTTGATAGGTTCCGTGACTAGAAAAAAGAAATCCTCTTTTAGGGTGTTCTTTTTTTTTTTTTTTTTTTTATATATTTATTATAATAATAATAATAATAATTATTATTATTACTAGCAAGCACCACGTGCGTTGCACGTGATTACGTATGATTTTACTTAGTATATAACTTATGATTAATTAATAAAATGTACATACTGATACTATATTTTAAAACAAAAATATTTTTAAATAAAATCAAATAAGTACAAAACTTCATGTTTCTACTTATGTATCAAAATATTATAAAATAAAATTATGCAAAAATCGAAATCAATAAGAAAATAAAACCAAAAGAAAATAACTAAAATAAATTGTTATATTAATTCATGCATGGAAAATGCTCACATCAAAATTTCTTTTATTTTGTTGTGATAATTGGTAATTTTCATTATCTTGAATTTCTCTGCATAAATATTGTTTAAAACAATTAAGTCTTTTTTCGTACATAAATATTGTTTGAAACAATTTTTTTTTTTTTGATATTACTCTTGTGCTATGATCACTCTGGTCAAATTTACCGCAATTTCCTTAAAGAAAGTGTAAATTTACTACATCACGACCCTGATGCTTGGTGTGATTACAGCTAAACTGCCTCTAATGTGAAAAATTATGCATATTTCCCTTCAATTTGGATAGTAGCAAAGACTTAACTCATTTGACCAATTATTTTTTCAATTATTTTTTTAAAATTATTTTTTTACCCCTCACTAAATGTTGAGTAAACTATATTGACCTCCCTTCGGTCTAGTTATATGTGTACACCCACATATTTACTTTCTTTCATTGACCTCAAAATTTAAAATTGTTTTGATCATCCACGTTTATTACTTAAATTTTTCTTTATTTTCATAAATTGGTTTTGGGTAAAATAACTTTTTTCCCTTGTACTATACCATATGTAACACTTATTCCCTCGTTCTTTGAAAAATACACTTACCCCTTTAAATTAACGGTCAACTTTTGTTTTTTTTTTTTTGAGAAAAGCAGACTTATAATTCCATTAATGAGAAAAATCAGAAATTACAATGCTAGATATGAAATATGGGAGAACATTAGCCGTAAAAGTCGACCTTAAGGACGATTTTGCGATTTTGTGGGAAGGGTTATCTTCCCTTTTGACATGGCAAACTTTGAAGTCTTCAAATACGGATGAGAGTCTTTTGATATAGTCGATGAGGTGACCAAAGCTGAAGAAAGACCATCCTTCACCTTTGATAGCTGCGACAATGGTGCTGGAATCGCTTTCTAAAACAACTCGATGCATATCATGATCGCGAGCGAACTCCATGGCTCTGAGTGCTGCCATTGTGTTAAGTGTATATTTTTACACTTAATCGTACCTTGTAATTGGAGCTTTTGGTGTATTTTATTGATAATTGGTGCTTAAAATGTTGATTTATCGTGTTTTAGGTATTGAAGAATTGGATAAATAGGGGGTCAAAACTGCAATTTAAGAGAAAATATGGGCGAAAAGTGAAGAAGCCAATAACCTGAAGAATAAGAGCCCATACGGTCGTCTGAGAATTACACTTAAATCTCAGACGGCCGTCCGAATTTCATCTGTTGAAGAATAAAGTCTCTCGAATTGAGACGACCGTTTGGAATTATAGCTGAAAATCCTGACGGCCGTCCGAGAAGGCGTAGAAGCACAGTAAAGGAATTCTAATTGCACAAGGAAACTACCTTCTTCTCCACGTTTTTCACCATATATAAGACCAAGTCAAGCACACAATTGAGGAGTAATCTCTTACGCAATTTCAGGGGCAACGAAACAATAACGAAGACGAAGAATTCGAAGATTACAAGCATAGTTTATCTTTTCATGAATTATTATTTTATTTTTACTTTAATCATGAGTAGCTAACTCTTTTATTTCTAGGATTTTATTTTAACTCTATGTGGGATTTATGAACCCAATTCTGTAATTTTATGCAAGTTTTAATTCCAGATTATTTCTTATACTTTGTTTTATTAAGTGCATGAACTTGATCACCTTATGTGCTTTTATGTTATTGTTAATCGCATGAATCGGAAGATCGGGTTAATAATTAGAACTGTGGTAGAAGAACATTTGTGGTATTAACATAGGAATATAGTTAATCTCTTAGGTAGTATTATTGAGATTTATGCTTAATGTTGTGTTGTAGAATTAATTGCATAGGAATACATTAATTGAATCTAGAGTATTAGAATCGTTATACTCGCGGAAGCGGGTTATGATTAATTTAGCATCCCATGTTAATAATCCGAGTTAATTACTTGCATAATTGAAGGAATTGGGGGAGTAATAATCACATAGGGGGAATAATAAAATCCTAGATTAAAACTTCGTTTTTATTTGTTTCTTGCTTTTGACCTTTTAATTTGTTTTAATTTAGTTTAGTTAATTTAGTATAATTGTTTATCTTTCGACTGTGTATGGTGGGCATGATAACAATTGGTAGGATTTAGCGTCTAGAATTAAATAATTAAATATTCTCTGTGGGATCGATACTTGGACTAAAAAATCCACTTTATTACTTGTACGATACGTGTACTTGCGTGTACGTATTACCACCAACACATTACCTCTGTTGTAGATGCGTCTAGACGTTGATTGCAGCAAGAAGAGAACCAATCAACACATTTAGCATCGAAAGATCTTGCTAATCCACCTAAACCGCAACTATTTTCATCTGAAGCAAGGGAAGCATCGAAATTTATTTTTAACACATCCCTAGGTGGCGCCTCCCAATGAATTAGCATTCTACCAACAGTTCGAGACGAATGTGGACTAAGAACAATTGAGAACGCTCCTCACAATTCCATGATAAACTTCTTGGCGAAAACAATGACATCCATAGCTGAATAATTTACTTCCTCGAAATAGCACTTATTTCTCTTATTCCAAATGGCCCAACACAATACAACACAATATTCAAATTGCGCATTATCTTGCTGCCTTTTCATGCGCATAAACCAATCGAGAAAATTTTGCTCTCTCGGCCAATAAGTCGACCATGGCACTCCACTTAGCGCCCACACATGTCTAGCGAAAGAGCACATTGATAGGCAATGGAGAACATCTTCGTCGTCATCACTGCATACTTCACATATACCTACCTCAAGCACCCTTCGTTGTACCAAATTCAGCTGCGTAGGATGAAGATTTTACAACAATGCCAAAAAAAGATTTTTATTTTACTCGGAAGCTTCAAACCCCATAACCATTTCCATGACCCCGTGGGAGCCATAGAGGAGCTGCTAGCGGTGTTTAGGCCCATTCTTTCCTTCTCTAAGTGTACATCTAAGTGATAAGCGCTACGAACAGTCAATACACCACTCTGATTATAGTGCCAAATAATCTTATCTTCGTTAACAGAATTCCCGAGGAATAGACATTATACATTATATCATCTTCGTAAAAAATTGAGGATAAGACATGTATATTCCAACGACCAGACTCATTGTCAATGAGACTTTGGACCCTCATCTCCATTGGCCAACTACCCCCTAGGAGTAAAATGTTTAAAAGTAGTTACTCTCGGAAGCCATTTATCGCCCCATATTGACACCTTTCCTCCACTTCCAATTCTTCATCGAGTACCCTTATCTAACAGAGATATCGCACCCCATATACTCCTCCCAGTGTATGATTGATTTGATCATAACGATGCACCAAAAATATCAGATTGTGGGTGGTATCGCGCCTTGTATATCCTCCCTAATAAGCTATCCGGCGAAACCAAAAGATGCCAAACTTGTTTAGCAAGAAGAGCTGGGTTGAAAGCGTCTAAGTTGCGGAAACCGAGACCTCCACAACCTTTGCTCAAGCACATATCGGGACATTTAATCCAATGAATCCCCTTCCCTCGATTATCCTTCCACCGAAACTTAGCCATAGACCCCTTAACTTCATCCGTAAAATACCTTGAAAGTTTGAAGCAGCTAATTGCGTACGTAGGGATGGCTTGAATCACAGCCTTGATAAGGATTTCTTTTCCTCCCTTCGATAGCCATTTCTCCTTCCATCCTTGAAGACGTTTCCAAACCCTGTCTCGGATATTAGCGAATACTTCCCGTTTTGATTTTCCTATCACTAAGGGGAGTCCCAAGTATTTATCTTGTTTGTGTTTGTCAACTACTTCCATTGAAAGTGCAGCTCTGATTATCTCCTTATTCGCCGAGGTAGTCGTTTTGCTAAAAACGATGCTAGATTTCTGATAATTCACTTTTTGACCCGAAGCCTTTTCATAAATTCTCGATATATTTTTTCACGCAAGTGGCCGAAGAGATATTGGCGTTGCAGAAAATTATTGTATCATTTGCGAAAAGTAAGTGAGATACTCTTGGTGCATTTTTGCATACAGTCAAACCAGCTATATTACCTCGTCGCTCTTCTCGTTCGATGATCAGAGCACTAAGCGCTTCCGCACAAAAAAGAAAAAGATAAGGGGAAATTGGATCGCCTTGTCGAATACCCCTCTCCGGCGTGAGAAAGCCAAAGATCGCCCATTAAGAATAACGGTCAACTTATTTGATAATTAACAGTGTTAGTAGTAAAATAACTTATAACTTTATTCTCACATTCAATTTGTTTTAATTCTCTTTAACACATGACATCTTATTTTTATGATTGATTTTTTATATTATTAATAAATATTAAATTTTAATGATAACTGTAGATAATATAGTTTTTCAAATACTGGACGAAATATAAACTTCATTAATATTTAATTTAAAAAATATATTTCTTCGTAACGTCAAATTTAGTACATTTTATTGCAAATTAAAGTCTTGAAATTTAAATAATATAAATTGAATATACATATTTTTTATTAATGAATTAAATTTTATATAATTTATAATTTATTCATTTCTGGTTTTTATTTATTTAAATCAATTTAATATAAAAGAAACAAAACATTTGATGAATTCAAAATGTGATTAATTAAATGAAGTAATAAAACAATTCAACAATTAACTTGGAGAATTCTTCAACTGTTTAAAAACATGTAAATGTAACTTATCTTATCGGTTGATGATTTTGTTTATAACTAAAATTATATTTCAATAATCTTTATGATGAATTCCACTATAATATAAATAAATAATAGATTCATCAAATAATATGATGTTTGTATAAGAAGATTCGTTATCCAATTTTGGTATTTAACTTTATTTTACATATTTTTACTATATTTTGATAATTAAACTTAAATTTTATATTTGTCTGAAATATAAAATTATGACTACATTTAGTATACTACAAACATCGTTAATAGTCAAATGTGTTGAATGTTAAAATAAGGGGGTGAGTGTATTTTTCAAAATACGAGGGATATGTGTTACATATAGTATAGTATAAGGGGATAAAGTGTATTTTACCCTTTTTATTAATATTGATGTTTGAGTTACAGTATAATATTTATAAAATTTACTTAAGTAAACAATAAGACTAATTATTAAGTACTCCCTTTGTCTCATACCAAATTGGGGGTGGTGTACCATTTGGTATGAGATTAGTTCCCCCAACCTTTCGCAATAAAGATCACCTGGAACTTCTAGAATCGCCGCAAGAAGGTCCACCTGAAACCACGTTTATGGTTTTACCTGTAGGTAGATTGTCATTGTGGTGGCCGTGTTGATGCTCTCCCTCCTGGCGACCTCTTGGCCGCACGTGATTTCAGCCATCTCGTCATCTTTCTTCATTTTGCTGATCACATAGAATTCTTACAAATTCTCTTAAATGTCCTCGTTGTATTTGTCTTTCAATCTCCTGTTTCAAATTGAAGCAATCCCCCGTATCGTGCCCCTTGTTGCGATGGAAACGAAAATATTTATTCCGCTTCTCACTTTTCGCATTCTTCATCTTCATCAAGGGTTTTGGAGGTCGGATCAATCCTTTTTGTTTCACTACAATAAACACCTAACTGAGATGCACATTGAGGGGAGTAAATTGTTGGGTTTTATAAGGGATAGCACATCCATCCTCTTTGTTGGACACCTCATGTCGCCTCTTCTTCACATTTTCATTTCTTCTGAGTTAAGTTAATCGTCTCTTCAGTGCTGATATATTTATCTGACCTGTCTAATAACTCGACAAGGTTGTGTGGTGGCCTTTCTGCTACACACTTTCTGAACCGTCGATACAACTAGTTTTGGTGAATTATTCCAGCCAAGAGAGCATGGTCACCAGACGGAATTTCAACTACATCTTGAGACAAACGTTGCACATATTCTCTTAACAATTCATGCTCTTATTGGATAATGGTGAACAAGTAAATTTGGCATCCTCAGGTATCTTCTGTTGATGGAGAATTGATCCATTGTTGATGGAGAACTGATCCAGAAACTTATGAGTGAATTTCTTTATATTCTCAACAGTTCCTGCAAGAAGTTGATCGAATCACTTCAAAGTATTTCCCGAGGTTGTTCGAAAAATCTTGCAATATGCGGCATCACATAGACAGTATAGATTTGCTTAGCTATCCACCTGTCCAAATGCTCATGCGGATGGCTAGTTCCTTCATAGTCTAGGAGTTGTGGAATCTTCACACCTGCCAGTAGAGGCTCGGCCAAAATAGCTGTAGAGAAATGACTTTTTCAATTTGACATAATTTCTTAGAGGCTTATTTCAACATCGGATGCGGCAACATAAGGCCTTTCCCTTGCAATTGGAATACTTGACTCTTGTTGTCCAGCTGATCGTTGAGCATTTGATGGCTTGGGTTCTCTTCGCTTGAGGAGATGCTCTTTTCATGCATGCGAATGTGCCAGGTGCCTAGGGTGTCTCCTAGATACGAATTGTGTCGCTCCTTCAGGTGAGCCAGTTCGACTGTGTGATTTTGAAGCGCGACTCGGAGATTTGCATTCTTATCCATTTTGAGTAGCCACAAATTTTTCCATGGCTTCCCCATCTATCTTCTTTGTAACTTCTTCCATCATTGCCAAAAGTAAATCCAGGGTCATTGTAAGCGTGACGACGCCATCGGGTAGATTCGGAGGCGGTGACCTTTGATTTCCTACAACTTGCGGCTGAACATGGGTGGATTGCTCTTCTTCACCGCTATCACCGTGGATGTTCTTCGAGTTTGCATTTTTTAACACGGTAGCTCCATGGTTTCCCATAGATGGCGCGAAAATGATGCGGTCAACAATAAACCAACTCGAATCACCTCAAAACAATTCTCGAACCTAAAATTATTCTTCAAGAACCAAAACAATTCTTGAACAATCTTCTTTAGTCAGAAGAGAAGAAAATGAGGCATTTCCTCCGTAAAAAATACACATTAGGGCGCCGGATCTTGGTTCCAGCAAATGGTCTCCGATGCTTAAGTCAGTCCAAGTCCGAGGGAAAAATATGGAGGAAATCTCTCACAAAATATAAGAAAAATATTGTGCGGTAAAAATGTTTAAAAATTACCTCCAATGATAATTAAACTATTTATATGCAAAACTATGTTAATTTTGGGCGTGATCTTCATTTATTGTTTAGCCTCATATTTATAATTATAATTTAGGGGTCTTATGATATAGGTTCTTGGTGAAAAAACTTATTATAATTAAATAATAAGTTTAACTAAACTTTTGCTTCACATCCTTTATAAATTTCTTTCCAGAAATGCTCTCCATACACAAAATATGAAATATGCACTAAGTAATTAATATTTAAAGTGCATTATCATTTTTTATTCTGCATTTAACATTTTCATTTTTGCATCTAACATTTTTTTTTTTTTTTACGTAGAACACATTAATCTTTTGGGATAATTAGCAATACCCCCCTCATCTAGGTAAATGAGTTAAGAAAACCCCCCTCCCAAAAATAATTAGAGAAAACCCCCTTACCTAATATTCTACCCAAATATTATTTAATAATTCCCAAACCACCCTTATTACCCCTAAATTATAGCCATTGACTAAGTTGCCCCATTGTGGATCCTAATCTCATGAAATTCCTCGAGGAAGACGAGGTTCGTCGTCTTCTTCCTTTTAAATTATTTACTTTTACATTTCGTATTGATTCATGCTCTGTCGAATTCGTGTGTTTTGTGTGATGCTCGATACTGGGCTTCTTATTTTTTTCTTACTGTGTGTGTGTGTGTGTTAACATGGGGGCATAATTGTTTGGCAGGATGAAACACTGCATTCAGGGGCAGACGTGGAGGCATTCACGGCTGAATTGAATAGAGACATTGAAGGCAATAATTCTACATCGCATCAGCTCTCCGATTCCAACACTGGTAATTCATTTACCTCATCGCATCCTCTTTCTCTCACACACACAAACACACACACACACACACACACACACACACACAAATTACACACACAAATCCAACCGTTACAGACCCAGCCCCGACCTCCAGCCCCTGCCGCCGCTGACGAAGCAGCCTCCCCCACCACCGCCGATCATAAACTCGCCGCCGCCGATGTCGTCCTCTGACGACGAGAGCCACGATACAAATTTCTACACTCCACAAGGCTCGTCTCTGAGCAACAGGTCTGCTACCGTCGGCGATTTTGGGTGGAGGATTGCGATGGGTCTGCTACCGGCGGCGTATGTGTGCGTGGATGGTGATGGTAATGATGGTTGTGGCGGCGGTTTTGAGTGGAGGATTGCGATGGGTCTGTTGGTGGCGGCGGTTTTGGGTGGAGGATTGCGATGGGTCTGCTGGCGGCGGCGGTTTTGGGTGGAAGATTGCGATGGGTCTGCTGGCGGTGGCGTATGTGTGTGTGGTAGTGATGGTTATGGCGGCGGTTTTTGGATGTTGGGTTGGTGGGAGCGTGGCAGAAGAGCATTAAGGCTTAATCGACTATGTTCAGTAGTCGATTAAGGTTAACCGACTCTAGTTGTTAAATTTTTTAATTTTTTTTATTTTTTGTTTTATTGATTCCAATGTATAAATCAATTACAATGTTTGTATTTTTTTTTAAATATAATTGATTTTGTATTTTTTTTGTAATTGTGATTTGTTATTTTTAGTAGTTAAATTTTTAATCGACTATCCATTAATGAACCTGATAGAGAAAAAAATTTAAAAAATAAAAAAAAAATTCCTTAAAAAAAGTAAAAAAAAAAAAATTAGAAACAAAAAAAAAGTTAAAAAATAAATAATTTCCTTAATCGACTATGAAGCATAGTCGATTAAGGCTTAATCGACTATGCTTCATAGTCGATTAAAAAAACGGAAAAAAAAAAAAAATCGCTGGAGCGCTCCCAGCTGTGATGAGGTGGCGGGCGGGGGTAAGGCTGGGAAACACAATGGCTGAAATTGGATCATGAGCTTTTCTCAAATGGTCTAAAATATTTTGGGCCTATCCCCATTAAAAAAAGTAATGGGGGGTTATGTCAAAGAGCCCCTAATCTTTTTGTTTTTTTCATTTTCGTATTTTTTCGCAATTAAAGAAATCTATTTTTTCCCTTTTTTTCTACATAATATTGAAAATTATGATTTAAAAAACAAAATCGGTCGTAGTCATCTATAGACACCCGTAGGAAATCGTGGAAACCGTAGTAATCTGTAGACATCTATGATCGCATATTCTTGAAACCCTAGCTCATCCTTTGAATCGTAGCCGCTAGACACCTATAGTAACTCATAGACATCAAATCAAAAAAAATTAGATCCGCTCCACCAAATGCTAGATCCACCCTCCAAACCCTATATTGTTGACGCCATGGCCACCTACCCCACCCACGCCACCAACGCCTACCCCACCTACATCGCTATCGCCTACCCCAACATCACCGCACCACCAGCATCATCCTTGAACCTCGAGCGCCGCCGCTGGGCCATCTACCCTCCTCAATCATGGAGTGGTGGTGTAGAAGAAGAAGAAGAAGAAGAAGAAGAAGAAGAAGAAGAAGAAGAAGTAGAAAGAAGAAGAAGAAGAAGAAGAAGAAGAAGAAGGAGGAACGTAAATGTGTAGTTTATAAGATTTAGGGTATAAGGGCAAGATAGGGATTAATTTTTTTTAAGGATGTGAGTCATATATTATTTCAAAGTAAAGATTTATTAAAAAAATAGATTTAGACTTGTCATTTAATTCAAATTATGTTTTGTTTGAGACACTTATAGCATATTATACGTATAATTTATGGGCTTCATTAAAGTACATCAGGTATGTACTCAAAACCTTATTTTCTCAGGCACACCATATTGTTATTTTCCTCCAAATAACCAGAAAAGGCTAAACTAAGATGGGAAGAACGATCATCATGACAATCAAATTGCTCCTATAATATTTTAATATTAACACTTGTAACTATTCTATTGTAGATCTTAACACCCAACTATATACTAAACATCTAGAATGAAATTTGTTTTAAGTTTAGAAGTGTATACAAATCATCACGAAATACATAATGCCTAGGCAATGTATGGTAGCGTTTTCATTTTATTCCATCTTATTGTTTTTCGGAAAACGAATTCTTATTAAGCTTCTCAAAAGATTTTCTCAAATTTTTTGAAAAGTTTTTTTCTACTTCAAACATGATTTGACTGTTGCAGTAAAAAAATATCCTATCAAACATACCTTTTTTGCCTAACTCGACTATTCCGCCACATTTTACACTCACTAATTTTTTTAATATATAATAAATGTTTATTAATTGTTAAATAATAGTTTGAATTTTTATTTAATTAGTAAATAATGATTAATTAATTATTTAATAATTAATAATGAATAATTAGTTAATAATTGGTTGATAATTGTTAGTGATTAATAAATAAATAAATATCTGTTAATAATTTTTTAGCTTTAAAGAAAATTAATTAATAATTTGATTATTAATCATTCAGTAATTAATGAAATTTCAATAAATAATTGGTTGATTATAGGTTTTCTTGGAGTATAAGGCTGCACGGTTCAAGAATGAGTTAGCTCAAGTCAAGTTGAGATAGGAGGAAAGTCGGCTTAAATATATATCCAATTGCTACAAATAATAAAGTATTTATGCACCCCATTTTCTTGGTCTTGGCGTAGAAAAAGTTTATTATACATTATTAATAACTCAAAGCTTTGCTTTTACAATTGTTTAGTTAAAATATTTCCACTTTCTTTCCTCCTCTTTCATCATTGATAAAATATTCTCGCCAACTGTACAACACAATTCATTTTGAATTAGTCAAGGGCCTTATCACTCTCTCACATTTGAATTTTTATGAGAAAATTTTCAAATAATCAGTAATTTATAGAGGTGATAATAATAATAATAATAATAATAATAATAATAATAATAATAATAATAATAATAATAATAATAATAATAATAATAATAATAATAATAATAATAATAATAATAATACAACTACCCCTAAGGTATGATCAAATTAAAAAAATCCCCCTCTTGTTTGGGTAATTACGAAAACCCCCAACTATAAATTTTCTTACACCTCCACTCTTATGGTGTCAAATTCCACATACTCATCTAGATTCAGTGTAATATGCTCTAATTTGTACTTGTTTTATACAAACATATAGTTTTTGATGTACTACAATTCGATATATACAAACCAAAAAAACACATCTTATGATCATCTTGCTTCAAAATGTGGAGCTCGAATGGGATACAACGGGTACAAACTTGAGAATATTCCATATAATCTAGAAGTTTCCACTAAATTTGAAACCGCAAGGGTGGACATGTAAGAAAATTTATAGTTAAGGGGGTGTTTTCATAATTATCCAAACAGGAGGGGGATTTCCATAATTTGACCATACCTCATGGGTGGTTGTAATTTACCATAATAATAATAAAAAATATTATTATTATTACACTGTTTCCCTATATATCTATCTATATATATATATATATATATATATATATATATATATATATATATATATATATATATATATATATATATATATATATATATATATATATATATATATATATATATATATATATATATATATATATATATATATATATATATATATATATATATATATATATATATATATATATATATATATATATATATACACCATACATACGTATATCATGTGAACCAATCAACAAATGCTTGCAAATAATCTCAATCTCTACGCAAACAACGTAACATCGTGTACTTGACGCCTCAATGTTTGAAAAATAATATTGAAAATGCCTATATTGATGTTGACATTTTTAGTTGTTTTATTATATGACTCAATTATGAAAATGACAACCACAAATAACAAGAGATATGATCAAATTTTGATTTTGTTTTTCCCTGCTGAGTTGTCAATCTATTTTGAATTAAGAAATAATTGCAAATTACATTATTATTATAATATTTCTTTTATTTATTCAGAAATAGAATAAAATATTTATGATATAACTCGATCTATGTATTAATATCAAAGGGGTGAATTTTTTTTGAATTAATTTTGAATATAATTAAATCGATGTCACTACTACACCAAATAGTTTTTAGAGCGACCCTACATATATCTATTATCACAAAAAATTAAAAATAATAAAATTTACAATAACATATAATTTTTGTTGCAATGATGCTACCTGGTTTAAAATTGGTGACCATAAAAAGGAAATATTAATGAGACCATAATTTTTAACACGTAAAGGATGACCTAATTGTTGGAGCAAGTGAGCCTGTGTCAATTGACCCATGTTCGAATTCTATTACCAACGGTTGCTAGGTTACTAAGTCGAATTCGTCACACATGGTTAGTCTAGTGTGGTTTACGTTTCTCGTATGGTTTGCAAACTATTATACGAGAGTGTAGGTTTATCCATAATACCTATATGGTTGGCTGCAAGTTACTTTATTACCAAAAAAAAAAAAATGTTTACCATCATACCATGAAGAGGAAATATTAATGATACACTACAAATCTGATAATATATATAACTAGTACCATTACATTCTTGTAATAAACTTGAAAAATATTTCGTTAGAAAATTAAACCCTAGAGGGAGATACAATATTTCTATTATATGCAAAAAAATAAATAATAGAAAGATGAGGTTATTAAGGTAGATATTTCATGCCAAACCTTAAGTTATGAATTTCGGCGAGGACTATTCAAAGTAAACCATCCATCCACATGCATGATTCTAGCCAGTTGACTTTGTCAAATGATGGTTTGTACAACTCGAGTCGTTGACTATATGTATACATACACACATATATATGCATATACATAACTAGTATATATAAGAAGATATAACTACCTAAACTCTCATTCACAATAATCAGCAGATCGCCTCGGTTAGCTGCGAAGACCAAGG